CAGGCCATACATTTTTATTTCTGCATTTGTTTCAAGTCTGGCTTCCCCACTAGAAGGTAAGTTCCTTGAGGACAGAAATGAAAGTGTGTGTTTTATCCCCAGCGCCTAGAACGAATCTGGCACCAAGCAGAAGAGAGAGACGGAGAGACGGAGAGACGGAGAGAGCAAAAAAAGACTCAAGTTTTGATGAGTCCTATTTGATCTAAGATGCGTCAAATTACCAATTCCAAGAATTTTTGATGGACAGATCAGACTATCCAATAATCTCATCAGAAGACCAGCCTCTTGCTTCCCTGTGATAAAGGTGAGGTCTCAAAAATTCAACTGGGGAAAAACTACAAAGAGAAAATGAGTCAACATAACAACTTCCCGTTCATTCTCAGAATCTGAACTTACCAGCGGCCTGCCGGCTCGGACTTTCAAGGGAGCCCTTTTCACTTACCCTCCCCAGATTAAGAGGTTTGTCCTTTTGCTGGATTTAAGAAGGGAAAGGGTGGTGCCTTTAATTTCCTGTTTCTAAATGGCTGTGCTAATAGAGCTGGTACTAAACAAAACCACTTTTCAACCAGATAAACATAAACAGAAGCCGCCTCTGCTGAGGATGGCTTCCCTGGCCCCGTGCCCCCAATAAGTCCCCCAACCCCCATTTCTCTGGGGCCTGAGCACCACTTTCATCTCGGGAGGCAATGAAAGAGGAGTCCTCAGCAATGGCTAGAGCTGTCTCAGGAAACTGCCCTAGTGCATCTGTCTTATCTGAATGCAGTTGTGAACACGCCCCATGGAGGCGCAAACACTTAAACTGCCAAGGGGCCACCCCACACTGGAAATGGCTCATCCGTCAGCTAATTTAACGCTGTTTCAGGATTCATAACCGTCTCCTATTTAGACCTTTTCAAAGGAAGTCGCAGATAGAGAACATAAGTACAGCCCCTGCAACTCCAAGACTCATCTCGTGAATAAGATTTTTAAATTTAAAATTAAAAAGAAAAAGAATATTAGACTGATATCTTGCAAAGGAGGTGGGGGGAGGGTAGAGGTATGTGCAAGTCTGTAAATTGAAAAGGCTGTGGTTAAATTTTCGGTCTTTAAACTTAATAGTCACCCTAATGGTGTATTTGTATCAAACGGGGTACAAAACGCATGATGTGATCGCAACTATTTTTTAAGTATAATATATAAATATATATTCCATAATATATAGAAAAAAGTACCAGTTGCCCTTGGGTGCTGGAATAAGGAAGGACTGTTTCTCTTCTGTACTTCCTACGTTTTCTAAAATGAGCACATATTGTTTATAAGTAGATTAAAGTTGCAATGCAAAAGTGTTTGAAATCTCATCAAGCGAAACTACAAAGGGGTAACTCAAGAAGTCTTTAAGTAAAGAGTACAGCCTTTCTTTCAATACATTCAACCAAAGCAATCCCAGGCGACAGTGAAAGTAAACATGTTGCAAAAGGGAAAAAAATGCAATGAGAGGAAGGGAACAAGGCAAAGGCTTTCTCCTCTGCAGGCTGCTATGAACAGGGGCCTTCACACAAAGGCACAGACCTTGGGAGGAACACAAAAGGAAGGTGCAAGGAGCTGGGCGCTGGGCACGCAGGCAGCCTGGGGGCGCTCAGCTCTGCCTGGCACCACGCAGCTCCCTTAGAGACCGGAAAGGCAGGGATGCGTCCACACCGGATAGAGCCAGACTTACGGACCAGGCGTGCTTGGCAAGGCTTGACACGCATCCCTGAACACCAGAGAAGCCGGTCTTCTAGAGTTTGGCCACTTCATGCATTCATCCAGCACGTGTTTTATTGAGAACCTACTATGTGTTGGGCACTGTGCAAACCATTAGGATTCGAACGCGGCCTGAAACCTGGGCCCTGCCCTAAAAGACATTCTTAACAAAGACCGTTGACTCCGAGCGTCAAAGATCTAGGGAAAACTGCCCTACTGACTGACAAGGACCACTTCTGCTGACACTTCCAACCAAATTAAGCTCAAACACTCAAGTGTACAAATTACTCAAGTTTATGAAAGACAATGGCACCCAGATCAAATTCAGAGTAAGAGACACCCCCCACCACCATCACTGAGCTGTCTCCTTTTCTTCTTTCTCTCCCACCTCATACGCTCCAGGCATTCTCCAGCCGCCAATGAATCCATGTCACTTGGAATACAATTTTTTTTATCTCAGATACAGGTACTCAGAACTCCTGCCAGAGGGCTCCAAATTTTTAGCAACACAATCTGTGCCACGCTGTGCCTTCTGCCTCTTGCAGGGTGATCCGGGGAGACTAAAACGGAAGCGCCAGGGGAAAGGATCCGTTATCATTGCCCTAAGTCCTGCAGGGGAGCAACGATCAGCTGACTTTCAAAGAAAATCAAAGCGGTAGGTCAAAGCCTTCGCATCCGCTGTCATCAACAGAGCAGGTTTTTAAAAAATGGAGAAGAAAGAAAATGTTTCCTATGGGTTTCAAAGCCTATATTTATGTCCCATATAACAATAAATCATGGACACAGAGTTTTTGTAGAACCCAATGTAACTCACAATAAGGAAGACTTTTTAGTCAAGCGCTCCACAGTTCTTTTCTACATTCCATAGGATGTACTGAAAGTAGTATTTGCTCTATGGACTGGGGGAGAAAATATCAGGACAGCACACTCACATAGATGAGAATAATAAACAAATGCCATTTCTTAGGAGGAAATGGAACCAGGAAGGGAAGCAAAGGCTGAGAGCAGAGGGGCAAGGACAGAGGATCTTGACCCGGAGAGCCTTAGAGAGAGAGCATCCTCCGGCTGGTCCCATAGGCCCAGACTGACAGGGGCTGATGCCACTTTCCAGTTGGGTTCCGATTCTGTAACTAGAGCTGGAATTCTTAGCCAAGTGCCCATTCCAAGTTGGTATCTCTGGTATCTCTGGCTAGAAAGTTACTTCCCAATTCTCACACAGGAAAAGAAAAAAAGCCCAGGCTGTGTTGGAAACCACGGGTGATATTAGTAGTTTTATTACTGTTTCACTGGACAGCTAATAGGTACAGAGAAGTGAAAGGCCATTCTTGCTCGAGGCTGGCATTTCTCCCTGTTCCGGGCATTTCGGCAGAGAATTACCTGGCACCTCAGTCCAGGCAAAACTTTATGCGGCCTAAACACATCTCCAGAGTCTAGAGCGAAGCATTCGGTCCTTTGTTTAAATTGTTTGAGCCTCAGGTCTGTGCACGCCGCCCAGTCCTCCAGCCCTCAGGGTGGAGCCTGGCCTGGCCGCCAGGATGCCACTGTCTGTCTGGTCCTGCCCCTGCGACCACGGCCGGATGGCGGGCGATGCAAGCGAGGTCCATTTTTAAATTCCCTTAGAAGTTTCACAGCCACGGGTTTGGGTGAGGTGACAAACCCTGCTGTCGTTTGCTGACAGGAAACTAAAAATACCCAACGGCCAACAAAAGCCATCTTTGACAAGGCTGGCTCAGATGTCCTGAGGTGGCAAGGGATGGTGTCAGACCATGTCCCTGGCAGCGTGGCCGCCTTAACAACTGCTCCTCCAGGGGGACCCAGGGGCCATTCTGTCCCCACGTTGTCAAGGAACCTTGCAGTCCACAGCCTGCCTATCCGATGGAAAGAACAGCTTTATTCCTCTGCCATCGACCCCAACGCAGGCTGGGTGAATCCAGGTCTGCTGGAAGTGTTAGATGCACGCAGAATGGAGAAGACCGAGGCAAAAAGAAAAAAAGCAATCCAGTTTCCCTGGAAGGAAACGTGTTTCCAGTTCCCTCCTCCTTAAAATTATAAAAGCAAATTACTGCTGCGACTATGCTGAGAAAGACAACCCACAGGCGTAAAAAACGGATTTCAGAGTCAGTGCTGGGGGGGGGGGGCACCCTTGGTGGGGCGGAGACCAGTTACCCCAGAAACTTGCCCTGAAGAAGGTTCTTTCTACCTGTTGGGCTTCAGAGGCGAGCTGGGGACCCCGGGCCGCCGCGCTCCAGGGCGCCCGACCCTTCCAGGTCCCAAACTTTCCCTCGCGCCCCTCGGGAGGAGGAGCCTTGGCTCTCCCCCTCCAGATGTCAGAGGTGAAAGCACCTAAGCCCCGGGGTCTGGGAGGAGGGAACTCATTCCCACGCGGCCCGGGGCTTCCAGGTGCA